AATATCAAAAGTCAGTTTAAATATATTAATTTCCTGCTATGCGTTCCAGTTGTACCAACTTATTTCTTTGTAAAATAAAATAAACTACTTTGAAATTAAAATGACAGACACATCTATCACTGTCAAGGATCTTCTCGTTGGACAGACTTATACCAACTATTGCTATGAATCAAAAGAAGACATCTGTAATTTGTTCAAACTTAAAGAACGTGCGGGCTCTATTTCCGCAATTTCAGTCTAGCAAAACACGCAGCGCCTGAATAAGCGCTAGTTAGACACTAATTAAAAGAACTAGGAAGCTGCTTTACTGAAAATCTTTCAGACTTCACACTGATTTTATTTGGAAAAATATCGGTCGGATTGTAAATTAATATATTTATGGTAAGATCACAAAATTTTATAAGTTATAGCGTTTGTTTTGCCGACTTAAATACCAGTGTGCTGTTCTAATTTCATTCAAAACACGTAAAAATATAATATAGAGTAGACTCAATAATTTGTTTTATTTTACGTTGTCAATAAATGTTAGTAGTTATTAAAATTGATATAAAAATACAGTATGTCCCCGGATTGTCGTTACAAAGGATTTTTTTTATTATTAACATTTTGATACAAATACGCATAAAAATATGGTTGAATTTTTTCTTGATCCTAAAAATCGAAACGCGTTTCTATGATGATGTAGTTTCGTTTTCATTCTTTGACGGATTGTTGTTGATAGAATTTTAATTAACGTCATATTTTCTTTGTTGTTGGTAGAATTTTAATTAACGTCATTTCGTTTCTGTTTTAAAATGTTTAGTTTAGTGTATTATTTTGCTTTTTAACATCAATATGACGTTAATCAAAATTACTAATAACTATCTATCAAAGATTGAAATCGAAGTTATATTACCATAGAAACACGTTTGAAATGAAAAATCAACTATATTTTCATGTTTTTTGTTAATTTTCTCTAAAACGGTATGGAAATTTCGAAGAAAAGTATAAACGGGATTAACCGTTTTAGAACAAGCAAAAATGTTTACGACAAATGCATTTTCCGAAAAAAGTCAATAATTATAAAATGTTTCCTCTTGTAAAGACAATCCAGAGACATACTGTATATATTTCTAATAAAAATAGATTAGTTACATATTAGTTATATTAATTATTTACTAACCACAAACATCAGATACGCTACTGAAGCATGTAAGTCAAATTGACGTCTCTAAATTATTTTTAACTGTTTTTTATTTTATTTTTAAGTAGCAAATAAAAAAATGCAAGAAAATTCAAGATAAAATATCAATTTTAATTAGTCAATTGTGAATTTTGAAAATGATCGGTTTACTACACGTACCTTTATAAAATATAGTCACTTACCAATGAAGTCAGTCCATTATTTCCCTCGATTTTTAACCAAGGTTTACGGCACGCTACACAACCAACAATTTTACACTCATTTTTGATAAATCACAATGGCGTCACTGCTCACTGTTTAATTTTTTCCTGGCATATTTATTTTCTTCTAGATTTACTACCTCTAAACAAAACCAATTTAATTGTAGAATTAATAATAATAAATTGTTTGTCTTAACTCAGTAAAGACAAACAAATTCAGAAATCTCAAATCAAATTCAAACTATTCAATTTGTCAAAAAAAAATCGAAAAAACGCCAAACAGAACTGTCAAATGATGGAGACCGATGATGTTGACTCCGTTCACCATGCATAAATACATAGAGTTCATACCAAATAAATTTGTGTTACGTAATTAAGCTTGACCGGCACAGCGCGGTAGCGTTGCCCATTTTTATATATATTCTTAATTTCTTTATTAAAATATTTTAAGAAACAAATATAAATTAATTATCTACATAAATATCTTATATAAAATGCTAATGTTTATCTGTGTCATCTCTACTGAAATAACGACTTGCTGAAACAAAATCTACATATTATAAAATGCTAATGTTTTTCTCTGTCGTCTCTACTGAAGTAACGACTTGCTCTAGAAAGTTGCTTTTTTAATAAAAGATAGCTAATTGGCTCTTCTAAAATCTGTCGTCGCCGGATTTTTTGTTTTTCATTCAATTAAAAAAAAATAAAAAGTATTTTTTTTCCTCATATCGTGGCGGAGGCGCCAAGCTTCAACTAGTAAAGAATATATAAACAGTTATTATTTACATTAACAAAACTCACCTTCTTGACAGCACTTAAGAGACATAAAGGGCATTACTACCGCTTTCCCGTTCAAAATATTCTAATAAAGTTGCGATGAGTTTTACGGCTAGTAAGCTATTTTTAGCTAGACTGCAAGGTCTGCTAGTAAATATATTTAAGCTTAAAGTATCACAGCACTATTTATTTAAACCAAAAACTCGTAATACAAAACTAAAGTGTCAAAACAAATGACAATGTCAGGAAATAAATAAATGCGGCAACTGGACATTTTTTACAGCAGAGCTACCACCTGAATCCCCAGCGCGAAATTTAAAATCCAGTTAGTCAGTGCGGCGCCGAATATGTCCATGGTTAGCGCGCTCGATTACGTAACTAAAAGTTTAATTGATATCAAATATAAATAGTATTATACTCCTTCCTTAATCTTCTTATTCAAAAGTTAATCTGTCTCAAAGTAGTAAATATAATAGTAAATAAGTTAAAGCTGTATTCCGTTGTAAAACCAGGTTAACCAGGTTAGTAAATTATGGTAAGGATCGGTTCGTGGAAATTATTAGTAAAATACAGAACACTTTGACTTAATTGTAGAAATGTCAAATATTGACGTTTATTGAATATCAGTTTTCTTTATACTCTATACAAATGCGCTTCGTTTGTCCGCTAGAGGGCATCAAACTTTAAAAAAATTCAGATATTTTTTCACCCTTCCCGTACTTTTTTTTTGATTTTTGTGAAAGTCAAGTATTAAAACACTTAGCAAAACATAGAACTACTAGAAATACACCCCAAAATCTCATTCAAACTACGGTTCTTAAAATATCTGAAAAAATGTGTTTATTAAACGGACAAACAAAGCACCTTTGTATAGAGGTAAATTATGTCCAATAAAACTTATTTTGATTGTAAAAAAACATACGTAGTAGTTCTAGATCCACGGAATATTGAGACATCCTGTATATAACATATAAAGGTGGGTCCGACATATAATAATTGATTATTATTTCACTGCGATTAAAACCTGTTAAAAAAAAGACTTGCAGAGTCTTGCAGCAAGACAAAGACTGGACCTGGCAAGACCAAGACCAAGACTACTTATTAACAGCAAGACTAAGACCAAGGGTGATTTAGTCTTGGTCTTGCATTTGTTCATCACTAATCATTATCAGAACAGATACAGCCCGACCAGTGAAAAATATAATGGCAGTGAAATTTACTATCTTTAAAACTGTCTTTAAAACTAAATTGGTTTTACTGTTATTTTTTTATATGTCATCTGTCGAAATTATATGAACTAGCGCGGGAAACAAATTCAAATACCAAGTACAAGTATTATAGGGGTGAGCCACTTTTGAGACGCACCCTATGCATCTCAAAAGTGGCTCACCCCTATAACTTTCTTATTTTTCAGTAAAAAAAACGAGATTTGTTATTTCAGTATATGACATAAATTAGGATTGATTGACGTATTCAATTGTTTTCGGTCATTTCCTGTTTCACCGAAAATTACTATTACTTCTGATTTTTAAATGGCACTCTCGGTATTTTTTTGCTTTATTCGATATAGAAAACGACATTCTGAATAGAGTGTCATATCATATGTCAACTTTTGACATTTTCGCTTAAAAGAAAATTGTATTTTAAATTTCAATCTAGAGTGCCATGCCTGTGTTAAAAACACTATTTTTTAATCAAGGAACCGTGGAAAAATAGATTTGAGTGTCTAATGTTTTTAGTGTCTTGTCCTGGCCGGTTAAAAATGCCCAAATCGTATTTTTAATCATATCTCAATTTTTTCAAATGGAACGAAGGTGGCTCATTAGCATATTTGGAAAAAGCATTTTTTTACGAATAATTTTGTTCCACACACTTGGTATTTCGAGTCAAAGTGTCGTTAGGAACCGCATGTTACAATTTCAAATAAACCATATGCGGAAATATCAAAAGTTGACATATAATATGTCATTCTATCCAGAGTGTCATTTTCCATCGAATAAAATAAAAAAATACAGAGGGTGCTATTTAAAAATCGAAAATTGTAGTCATTTCCGGTGAAACAGGAAGTGATCGAAAACAATTGAATACGTCAATCAATCCGAATTTATGTCATAAAAGTACTAACATACCAAATCTCGTTTTTTATCTCAAAAAATAAAATAAAAACTTATAGAGGTGACTTTTAAGACGCACCAGGTATTTCTTAAATTATTAATTTACTTTTTGTTATGACGAAATTTTGAAGAATTAAATAATATTTTTATCAAGAGGAGCGTATATTAATTAAGTACACTATAAATTTTTATACAAATTTTAAATCAGATAATTAAAATACAATAATATTTAGTACTTTAGTTTCAAAAATTTTAACAAATAAGGGAACAATAATATTAACATTAAAACTGAAGCGCTTAAATTTATTAGAATTTCCTTACTAACCGCAACATTAAATTTCCCAAAGAAACATATTACAACGTTTAGTGCATTTATTTATATAACAGAGCATAGTTGAGTATATAGTACGAACTTTTGTGCTACAATATTTAACTTGTGCGCAACCAACTGCAATGCATGCTAGTGCATAGTAATTTATTCTAAAAAACGCAGATTACTTTCGCTTATATTTATTTAAAAAAATATCAATAATAATTTATTTTTTGTTTATATCTTTATTTAATTTCCTGTAAAAAATTATTGTTTATTGATGATAATATAAAATTAGTTGTTTCTTTGTTTGGAAGTTGTTAAAAGTAACGGTTTTTTTTTCTACAAGGCTAAGGATAAAAAAGATCGTTGAAATGTTTGTTTCGAGGAAGTTTTGAATAATTAATGGTGCCTACCTTTGTCCGTTACGTCACCGGCGCCGCATTAGATCCGAATAAGGGCGAGAGAGCGATTTTGGCGAGAGAATTTCACCGGGAACTACGCGAGTTTTGTTGCTACTGGTGGGAAACTAGGAAACTCGCGTCGCGTCGTCGTCGGCCCGTCGGCGAAGGAAAAGCGCACTTGGACGCGCATCGCGGCCGCACTGTCTCCGCGGTCGGTTCGACTAAGTGCCAGCGCCCAACTTTTTCGATCAGCCGATTAGCGACGCTTTGTTTTTCGGAGACACAATTATTTTCGGTGTCCAGCGCCTATTTTTAGCCAGTTTGCGATAGCTCACTAATTCACAAAACGCAAAATTAGATGCAACATAATTCTTCGATTGTAACTCGTTACTCCTTTTGCGCTTCTTATGCAGTATTGCATATACAGGGTGGCGCCTCTCATATCGACGCGAATACTCGAGGAAGAACGGTAGTTTATAGCGAAATATAATTTTGGGAGCATATGTAGGTTAATTGAAAGCATTTTATAAAAGTACTAGCGTATACCAGCGACTTCGTTCGCCTCGAATTAATCATTTGTAATGGTGATGATAAAGCAAAGCAAGAATTTCCATTAACATACAAACTGGATAAAATTTTCTCACATTTATGTTGGCATGAGAAAAATCAATATGGCGATATTATTATATAACTTGGTAATATTTGAGGGGTAGTTTCATCTCGTTGGAATTTGACTTTCAAAAAATCCGTTTGCCAAAAATAAGCTTTTTACGTCAAGCAGTTTAAACAGAATCGTGGTTAAGAAATTACCCCACTTTTTGGAACAACCTTTATGATTTTTTAAAAAATTTCAAAATATGTAAAAAAACCAAATAAATTATGCTTGTCCAAGCGTTTTCCCGAAAGAGTAACCGTTTTTTAAATTACGAATATTGTAATATTTGAGGGGCGTTTTCACCCTCTTGGAATTTGAGATTCGAAAAACCCCTCCTTATCGAACCTCTACACCCCACAGTCAATCCGTTTGCCAAAAATCAGCTTTAAACGTCAAGCAGTTTAAGCAGAATCGTGATTACTCAATGGTCATATTTTATGAAACAACCTGTATAAATTTATAAAAATCTTAAAATAAAAAAATATGTAAAACAACAAAATAAAATATACGTGTTTAAGAGCTTTTCCGAAAAACTCACCGGTTTTTAAATAAAAAATATTTTAATATTTGAGGGATAGTTTCACCCTCTTAGAATTCGAGTTTCGAAAATCCATTCTTATCGAACCTCTACACCCTAAAGTCAACCTGTTTTCCAAAAATCAGCTTTTTACGTCAAGCGCTTTAAGCAGGATTGTGATTAATCAATGACCAGATTTTTCGAAACACCCTGTAAACATTTTTAAAAATCTTAAAATATGTAAAAAACAAAATAAAATATACGTGTTTAAGCGTTTTTCCGAAACTTGACCGTGTTTTAAATAAAAAATATTGTAATATTTGAGGGGTGGTTTCACCCTCTTGGAACTGGAATTTCGAAAAATCCCTTCTTATCGAACCTCTACACCCTAGAATCAACCTGTATGCCAAAATTGAGCTTCTTACGTTGAGTGGTTTGAGCAGGATCGTGATTAATCAGTATGTCAGTCACTTAAGGATTTTATATATTAGTATAGATATATACCTATATGTATATATAGTTATACAGGGTGTCCCCAAAAAAAGTTACACATCAAAGTTGTGTTTTTTGTAATGGATTGAATTGTGCTTTGACAACTAGTGAACACAATATACAGGGTGGTCCGAATTGTTTCGAAAACTTCGGAAGCATATTCTGCAGACTAAAATAAGTAAAAAAGTTCGTAGAAATGTATTTCCTAAAATGCTTAGTTTCGGAGATACAGGGTGTAGAAATTTCATTTTTATTTCGATTTTTTCCATATAATTTAAGAAGTAACGTCAATATTTGGATGAAAATTGGTGTCTGGCAGTTTTTGGACATGAGAAATTTTATTTTCATGTCAATATGACTCCTATTTGTAGAGGGCGCCACTACATATGCTTTAACTGGTTTGAAGACTAATAACTTTTCATCCATACCTGTATCAAACTACTGAGTAAAAGATATACATTTACAACTTTTTTTACATAAAAAAGGTCTCTTGGTAAAAATCGCTACGAGTAATGGTTCTCGAGATATTTGAAATTGAAATTATCAATACCTGTCATCATTGACAAATTAAACATGTTGACCAAATAATTATTAGACTGAAATCTTAAATTTGAAATCTTTTTGTGCCAAAAGTTCAACAGAAACTGTTTAATCATCATTTTCTCGCAGAAAATTTATGATTAATTTAAAAAAATAAACATTTATTATTTCAGTCAAATAACTATATTCAACGTGTGCTTATGTTTTGTCAATAATGACATGTATTGACTATTTCCATTTTAAATATCTTGAGAACGGTTGCTCGTAGCGATTTTTACCAAGAAACATTTTTTACGTAAAAAGCCATGGAAATGTATATTTTTTCAGTCAGTAGTTTTATACAGGTACCGTCGAAAAGTTATTACTCTTCAAAACAGTCAAAACGCATGTAGGTGGCGCCCCCTACAAATCAAATCAAATTTCTCGTATCACAAAACTCCCAAACACCAATTTTCATCCAGATATTGACGTTACTTCAAAAATTATTTAGAAAAAATCGAAATAAAAATGAAACTTCTACACCCTGTATCTCCGAAACTAAGCATTTTAAGACATACATTTATACGAACTGTTTTACTTATTTTTATCTGCAGAATATGCTGCCGAAGTTTCCGGAATACAGTTCGGACCACCCTGTATTTGGAACAATATCTAGGTCAAATATACCGGTTGCATCTCAAAAGTGGCTCACCGCTATAACTTTTTTATTTTTTCGGATTAAACAACGATATTTGGTATATTAGTATATGACATAAATTGGGATTGATTGACGTATACAGTTGTTTTCGGTCACTTCCGGTTTCACCGGAAATGATTACAATTTCTGATTTTTAAATGGCACCCTCGGTATTTTCTTACTTTATTCGGTAGAAAATGACACTCTGAATCCAATGACATATCATATTCAACTTTTGACATTTTCGCATATGGTTTATTTGAAATTGTAACACGCTCATAACGACAATTTGACTTAAAATACCAACTGTGTGGTATCAAATTATTCGTAAAAAAATGTTTTTTCCAAATATGCTAATGAGCCATCCTCGTTACATTTGAAAAAATTTAGATATGATTAAAAATACGATTTATATACAGGGTGGGGCACCTCATTCGCCTCGGTTGATTATAAGAAAATTGAAAGATGTAGAAACAAAATATTTTATGGGTATATGTGGGAAGGCAATATGCATAATTTAAAATTATTTTGAAATGTACAGGGTGTGTCAGAACTAAGATCCATACCAAAGTTATAATTTTTCTTATGGAACACACACCCGGTGTTATATTTAATCTTTGGATTCTTGGACATAAAATAAGATATTTATTATAAAGGTTTAATATGTTTAAAAGCTTTGATTTTTGAGATTAAAAGATATTTAAATATGCATGTTATAATAAAAAAAGTTTGTCAACACCTTTTACATTACTTTTCAGAATTAATTCTTGTGCTGACTTTCAAGCCAGAGAAATAAACTTTACTAAAAAATGTGGTTGCTTCCTTAAATGTATACAGGGGTATCAGAAATTGCTGGTCTATTTTACATATTTATTTTACATAAAAACTTAGTTATTTCAAATGCAACACTATGTATTTTTTAAATAAGTCGAAGCAATTTTAAATGCCTTTTCAAACTATATTAGAGTTTCCTATACCCATCTGGCTCAGATTTTTAATAAAAAGCGATTTTTCAATAAAACTCTAATCAAGATGGCTGGTGTCGCCATGGTAATTTTCTAGTGAGACTTAGTAGCTATATTTTTAAAATCGACCTTAGTTTATGGACTTTATTTAAATTTATAACAGGTTATTTTTATTTAATTTACCTACAATAATGTTAATAAGTAAGTATTTATTATTTTATCAAGAAAAATGAAGCAGTATCTGCTGGCGGAAGGATTGGATATGTTACTAGTGATTTTATTTTGTGAGGACAATTACTTGTTGGCCTGAAGGGTTTATGCTCAAAGATATCCAAATAGGAATTTTCTTGACAAGCGTTCCTTTGAAAAACTACCTTTCCTATTTCGCAGAGCTGATAGTGTGGTATATGAAAAACCTATTAGGCAGAAACCTGTTGTTGGATGTGAAAAAAATGAATTTGCCTTAATTGGTTCTTTTATAGAAAATCCAATATATCTAAAAGTCATCGTAATAAAAGAACTACTTCTTCATATTTCTTGATAAAATAATAAATTAAATAAAATAAATTGTTATTAATTTAAATAAAGTCCATAAAATATTGTCGCTTTTGAAAATAGCTACTAAATGTCACTAGCAAATTGCCATGGCGACACTAGCCATCTTGATAGCCATTTTATTGAAAAATCGTTTTTCATTCAAAATCTGAACCAGATAGGTATAGAAAAACCCAATATAGTTTGAAAGAGCATTTAAATCTGCTTCAACTTGTTTTAAAAAATACATAGTCTTGTATTTGAGATAACGAAGTTTTTATGTAAAATAAATATTTAAAATAGACAAGCAATTTTTGGTACCCCTGTATACATTTAATGAAGCAATACAATTTTTAGTAAAGTTTATTTCTCTGGCTTCAAAGTCAGCACAAGAATTAACTCTAAAAAATTTAGTACGAGGTGTTGACAAACTTTTTTATTATAGCATGCATATTCAAATATCTAAATATCTTAAAAACCAAAGATTTTAATCATATTAAACCCTTATAATAAATGCCTTATTTTAGGCCCAAGAATCCAAAAATAAAATAAAATACCGGGTGTTCCATAAGAAAAAATATAACTTTGGTATATGGATCTTAGTTCTGAGACACCCTGTACATTTGAACATAATTTTAAATTATGCACATTGCGTTTCTACATATACCCATAAAAAAATTGTTTCTACATCTTTCTGTTTTCGTATAATCAACCGAGGCGAATGAGGTGCGCCACCCTGTATAAAATACAATCTTTTAACCGACCAGGACAAGACACTAAAACATTAAACAATCAAATCTATTTTTGCAAGGATCCTTGATTAAAAATTAGTGTTTTTAAC